TAGATGATAACTAACAATGAGCGAACTAATGAATAACTAACTAGTTCTTAAAAGGCTGGCAACGCACTTGCAAGCTATTGGAAATATGAGTGTACATGGGCGGTACCACTTAACATCAGGTGAGCCCGTTTACCCCCTGTTCTAACAAAAATTAAACTTCGAACAAAAAGAGGTCATGTACTGAAAATTTTATTAATACAGATAAAATATCGCTTCTTCTTATAGTGGCATCTCCTTTCGAAGGTTGGCGATCAAGTATACTTTAATTTTGGTTGCCTCGCTTCTGAACAATATTGACCAAACCATTGTCTAAGATTCTTCAACCAAGACGTTCGACTGTGGCCAGGTCCCCCTCTACTGCCTTGTGTGATCAGTAGAAGGAGCTCCAATTTTTCGGTGTTACGTAAGATGTGTCCGAAATATTAAAGTTTCCTTTTCTTAACCATCATAACTTCTTTGTTTTTCTGAATTTTGTCCAGTACGGTTGTATTCCGTATATATATATTTTAAGCAACATTTCATTTAAAAACTAATAATAACGGAATAATGATCGTTTTTATTAACGGGAACAATCATACTATGTTAATTAAATAAAAATATTGGATGAATTCTGAATGAACGCATTTTTGTTCGTGAAAAATTGCTTTCATAAGTCGAAAATGAGTTTTTGTACAATTCGATAAGAAATTCGTTTCCACGCGATCGTTATTCACATCAAGTGAAAATGAATTGTTAATAACACAACTTGTACGCCTTTGACATGAGATGCTTTTAGACTTGACATGAATATTACGAAGAAATTCGTTGATTAATTCACTTATAGACTTTAGGTACTGAGAATATATTATATATTATGTTTTTATATAAACGGGCAGGAGGGCATTACCCTAATGTTAAGTGATACCCCCGCCGACACTAACATTGCCAGAAGGCTCGCAAGTGCGTTGCCGGCCTGTTAAGTATTGCTTCGATTTTTATTAAAGTAAGTCGAATTGGTTCGAAAATACTTCAGTGGGCAGCTGGTTTCCCATAGTGGTGGTGCGTGGCAACTGTCTTAAGAAAAGGGGTGATACGGGTGGTATTTCGTATTCTGCGTTGACGTCCAATTATGAAGATTTATCATTAAAATATAACACATAAACGCGAATACCTATAATACATAAATAAACAGTTAATTGTATGTCCTTTCTTAATACCCTATCGATAAATAACGATTAGTTAGTAGTATTTATATATATATATAATAAATAAGGTTGATACTACGTGTGGCAAGTCGGTTTCCTCGCGATACTTTACTTCACTATTCGAGCGAATGTTAAATACGCACATAGTAAGAAAGTCCATTGGTGGAGGAGGATCGAACCTACGAGCTCAGGGATGAGAGTCGTACGCTGAAGCCACTAGGCCAACACTGATCATTCAAATCAAATATACTTAAATACTATAGAGAGTGGTTTTGATCAAATGCCTAAAATCTTAACTTTTCAATTTCCTTTGAATAAACCTATAACGCGTCTCGACAACGACACTCTATCAACTAAAGTATATCTTTTATGAGATAAGATCTTAAAATATTGCTCAGGGATCGCTATATATCGTGCTCACCTTACCGAAGCATTGAAAGGTACGTGCGGCCCCTATTCTTTAGAAACTCGTATAATCTGTCACCCATGTAAAAATCGAGAGGCTAATTCTGATACCCAGACTTTGAAAAGATATTCATTTACATATTAAGATGCCTAATGAACTGGATTTGAAATGTTCCTACGTCGAGATTAGACTAACGCCTTTATTTTGTGAAAGGAATATTATTATGTATTTAAAGTGATATCTGTACAATTTCGGCAATCAAAAGCTTAATTTTTTACTATTTGAATTGGGATTGTGATAGAATAAGTTAAAAAACTGTCTTTTACTTGAGTGGTAACGTAACTTGGTAACGTTAACGTTAAAAGACATTTACCTAAAATTAGATTATCTAATTATTTAGCTGAAGTTTAATTAAATACTGAAAATAATTACGCTTTCGCGGATATTATGTATTATATAACATATGGAAGTGAATGTTGGGTGTGGCAGAGAAAGAAAGTAGAATAAATGCCGTGTAATGCCGTGTAATGCCGTTAAGAAGTATGTGTTGAAACATTGCATAAAAGGATAAATAAGCAGTGTGGGTTAAAAGTGGACGTAATGACAAGGGTATGAAAGAGAATGCTTAGGTGGTTTGGTCATGTCGAACGGATGAATGGGAGCGGTTAACAAGGCAACCACGGATGGTGAAGTCGGGTTGAGTTGGCTTAGACGTACATACCTGGACCAAAGCGACAAGTCAAAAGTACCCATAACCGACGACCATGCATGGTAAATGTCATGAAAGTGGATGAAGCGAGAGATTGATATCAGGTCCGAAGCAAGTGAAGATCCGTGGTCTCTGGCTACACCTTCGGAAAAAGGCGTGATAAAATAAATAAATATATAAAAATGTATTATATGGAAAGCCTAGAACCGTACTTTATTATTTGTTTGTTGACTACATAAAACTAAATCCAATTAACTTTCAAATTGAGTTTGTACTGCAATAACAAAATGTAATCAAACACTTAATACATTGGCTTTGTCATGTTTCAGTAATTTGATCAAAATATAGTTCTATTTCAAATCGGCCGACATTTTTCATCAGTGTTTATTAAATTTAAATGCGTAACTATTAGTGTTGTATGAATGACTTACCAAGGAAATTATATGTTATGTTTATTTAAAAAATGAGGAGTTTTGGGTACAAGTGCTATAAAACGAAATATAGTTTAAAAAAAATATTTATGTCGAATTTTAAAATATCACAATTTTTATAATCTGGTAACCGAGATTTATTTTATTAAATGATTTAACGAATGTAATGCCTTCCCTGTCTGCAAGTTATTATAGAAATAACGATAAATATCGATTGTCGTAATGTTTCTACCCTGAAATTGGATAATATATCTTTGCAATAATACTATGTTTTTTTTATATTTAAAAATAAACAAATCTTATTGAAAACTAATGTATTATAATCTGTGCTTCACAAGTTTGACAGTTGACAATTTTAATTGCGCGCTTGTCAATTTGTTTGATCATCAGTATCTACGTTTATTTTATTGAATTTATTAAGAAAAAACAACTCTTGACACTTTACGAGTACTACAACGCTTTTGGTGTTAACAGTAACAAATTGTATACCATCAGTGAATCGTGAATTTATATTGTATGGTTATTTAAAATATCATGCATTTCAAATTCGTTAAATTCAAGCAAAATTGTCGAGCCGAACTTAAAGTTATTCTTATAAAAAGGTTTTGTATCGACACAAGAGGAAGTTATTAAAAATATTCGCGTGAAAAATCCAGTCGAGAACAAATGTTTTTTGAACTTTCTGTTGTTCCCTAAGGATACTTCACATTGTTTGCCTATTCGAATAAAATGCTATAGCACAAAAAGTCTGAGAGTTTGTAGCACAGATACACTAACGATTTAAAATGTAACCTATTTACAATACAAGACATATAGAGAGTATACTCCCCCTTTAAAAGCCGGCAACGCAACTAAAATGGGTTCCATGGGCTGCGATGACTGCCCTTTTTAGCCGTTCCTTATTCTCGTTTGGGGTATAAATACTATAAAAAAATCTAGGGTATTCGAAAAAAGCGATTGTTCAACCAATTGGCCGTTTCGTGCCTACATTTTCGTCGCCATCTTTATATCTATTTTAAGTGTTAACATCGTTTATTTGTTGAAATAGAGTTGGAAACGGATACATTATGTAACAACAAAGCTATATTTTATATTTATCTATAAGTATTAGCATATAAATTGTCCCATGTTAGAATATTTTCATATTAAACAATGTTGTACTTTCGCTTCGTTTTCTATAAAAAAAAGTAATTTATTATTACTTTTTTGATATAGTAATTTATTTATATATTTTATTTATTTATTTAGACTTTGCATAATAAATTTGAACAAAAAAAAATTCATTTATTATTTTGATAAGTATTGATTATCTTTTTTTTTTAATTAGGTGGTGCAGGTGACTAGTTTATGTTAGTAATACTATATATCTTTGTAAGACTAGTTTATTTTAAAATGCTTAGGACTGAGTCTCATTTAGATTTCGAATTGTCTCGCCTATATTGAACAATTCGTAATACCGTACACTTAATTAATAATTTCCTCTCGTTCAAATATAATTTTAAGGACTCTAATCCCAAAGGATTATTAATATCAAAATATGAGAGAGGTTTCTGAAACTTTGTACCAATACTCTTGATTTCCCTCCCTGACAGCCTTTTCAGAAATGTACAAATAGGTATTTGTAACGACATGGCATGCCTAGATTTTTTTATCACCGTTTACCATCCGTATCACCTCGACGTCCGTCGTCCACAACTGAGTGTTTCTTAAAGCTGTTTTTTCCGCGCATCACCACCAGCAGAAATACTTCAAGCAACCAGCTGCGCACTGAAGTATTTCCGAACCAATTCAACTTAGGATCCTTCAAGAAAAGAGTGCCTCCTAGTGTGTCTCCTGTCCGTTTGCCTTCTGTTACATTTAAAAAAACCCTATACGTCAGAAATGATTGGTAGCTTAAAATAAAAACGTAACTATTAAAATAACACCCAAAATGTGAATACATTGTAAAATCAACATATTATTTTAGAAACAAAGGAAAGTTCGCAACAATTTTTAATATCAACGTAGACAGTGTTCTTTTAGGTAAAATTATTATTACAAGCTGGAACAATATTTTAGTTATTCCTTGGAAATGAAATATAATTTTAATCAACATTTATTACATTCTCCTATAGTATCCTATTAATATCATCTTCTTATTGGATTACTTTGTCCTATTTATAGAACGTTTATTTGGAAATTTCAAACATCGTGTTTGAAAATTGTACTCAAAGTATACGTTTGTTACAGGTAGTAACTTCATGCTGAACAAGATCATGAACTAAGTCATCATGGAGTCTACAGAAGACGAATTCTACAGCATATGCCTGAATTTGACCAGCGAAGAGATCGCAAACATCGGAGGCTGTAACTACAGTGCCGAATTTGAAAATGGAGAGCTACTTGAGAAAGTCGTTTCTAGGGTTGTGCCAATTTTCTTTGGTTTCATCGGAATCGTTGGCCTCGTTGGCAATGCGTTGGTTGTGCTCGTAGTTGCTGCAAACCCTGGCATGAGATCTACAACTAACCTCTTGATAATAAACTTGGCTGTTGCTGACCTGCTCTTCGTTATCTTTTGCGTTCCGTTCACGGCTACAGATTATGTCATGCCCAGATGGCCTTTCGGGGACTGGTGGTGCAAAGTCGTTCAGTATTTCATAGTTGTCACAGCTCATGCATCAGTTTATACCCTCGTGTTGATGTCTTTAGACAGATTCATGGCAGTGGTGCACCCCATAGCATCTATGTCAATAAGGACAGAGAGAAACGCGTTACTGGCAATAGCTTGTATATGGGTTGTTATTTTGACCACTGCAATCCCCGTGGGCATCTGCCACGGTGAGAGAGAATACTCCTATTTCCACAGGAACCACTCTTCTTGTGTGTTTCTTGAAGAGCTGGGTTATAGCAAGTTAGGCTTTCAAATGTCATTTTTCCTTTCATCATATGTTATACCTTTGGCCCTCATTAGTATTTTGTATGTATGTATGTTATCGAGGCTGTGGAAGAGCGCTCCTGGAGGCAGAGTATCTGCGGAGAGTAGAAGAGGGAGGAAGAAAGTGACCAGGATGGTGGTGGTCGTAGTTGTAGTGTTTGCGGTTTGCTGGTGTCCTATCCAGGTAATACCAGTAACTTAATATTTTTGTCTATGCCCAAAATTGTTTTAATGTCATATAAGTGTTAAAGCCATAAAAATATTCTTTCTTGACACTTTATTTATTTACTACAAGTATTTAATGTCTTAATACGTACAACATAGTTAAAACAGACCAAAGAGATCTCTGACCTGGGACCTACAGCTATGAAACACAAATTTCAGAAGTTATCTATAAATATGTCATCTAGTGACAATTTTTATTTCTAAAAAGACCAAAGACATATTTCCCAGCTAGGAACAGTTTTTATTGGAAAATTCATGTGTCGTTTTTAGTATTTTTTTATACATATTTAGTTACCCACCGTCTAAACCTTCCCCGAACTTACAAATTTTTAAGATTAAACTTAGTAAAATAGGTCCAGCCATTCTCGAGTTTTAGTGAGACAAACGAACAGCAATTCATTTATGTATGTAAGCTAAGTAGATGATCAGAATACTCTGTGAAGGAAATTCATTCGCTTCAAGTTTCCACTTTGGATAGATTTTCATACCTAATCGACTCCATAAAGTCAATATTGAAGTTCCGATACTCCTTGTTACTTATACCAAACAAACTTATAAATTAATTAAAACACTCCCGACTTCATTAATTTATATTCATTGATCCGTGATCGTTTGTCTTCCGTTATAACCAAAGTTTCATTATTTAATTGCATTACGCACATTAATCTTCTAAGCATTTGTGAAAGTATACTCACTGTACCTTATAGACATTTAAATTTTATATTTGCTTTATATTACAGATATAGAAATAAATTACTAAGTTTACTTTACGTTTGTTGTACTTTTACTTATTTAATATGGAGGAAATGTATAAATATTCTTAACCGACTAAAGTTCACTATGGATTTTAAATATGGTCTACTGTTTAATTTCATGCAATATTTACCTTATTTAAAAAGTGTATAATTTAAGATGCCTAGCTAATAAAACGAGATTTACCGTTATCTTAAGCCAACACCTGATTCATTAGATATTCCGCTAATCCTTTATTATAAAACAGACTGCTTAGTATTAATCTTCGCGCCTGTGCCGTGCTTGTGATAACAGTTTTAATGTTAATTGCTTTCACGTCTATCACCTTAAGTATTAGTTAAATATATAATTTAGGATTCGTAGTTTATAGCTTACATTAGTTAATGACCGAACTATTTAAAAGCTTTTTACTAAGCTTTAATACTGAGCCAGCTTAATCCACATAAAGTAAAGGTATACGGGTAACGGGCTATTAATTTTCATTTTATACAATAATCATTTACAGATAATCCTGCTGGTAAAGGCGTTGGACGCTTACAATATCACTTACTTTACGGTGACGGCGCAGATCGTGTCACACGTGCTCGCCTACATGAACAGCTGTGTTAACCCCGTACTTTATGCCTTCCTCTCGGAGAACTTTCGCATTGCATTCAGAAAGGTAATTTTCCTATGAGTCTCTGTTATGAATAGTCTTAGAATACTCGTAGCGTGATTACGGCTCTACGACAAGACCCTACGGGGTTGCGTAGCGCTACAAGTATTCGTAGAACTTGCTTTACATTTAAACTGTATATAATATTAATAAATAATAATTTTAAATTATATATAAGTAGGTAAAATCATTAATAAGGTATTTGAGGCATATAATGAATTTATAAATAACAATAATATATATAGTATTGTCTTTGATTGACATAACCTTTACACATTTAAAGAAAAAACTTTTTGACCGGATTGAAGTTTATTCATAATTTTAAATTTATCCGACGTTTCGCGTGCTTTACAGCGTACGTGGTCACGGTGACTGAAGACAAAAGGTGTTGAATGTCAAAAATTATGTTAAATAGTTGTAAATTTATAATAATACATAACTTCAACCCGGTCAAAAAGTTTTTTTTAATAATATATATGTTATAAAATGCGCTACTTCGAAATGAGAAAACACAATCAAAATCAGTTTCTGACGCCCTAGAGATAGGTTTAGCGTCGGTTTGAAATTGTTTTTTTAAATGAAACTACTTTATTCAGTGTGAGATTTAACAACTGGCTATAATTGAAACTGCGGGACACACAACTAGTGTGTGCCACTGTTCCAATTTTGTCAAATCGGTTGTAGCGAGATATTACTCAATAAGTGCGCGTCGAACACAAAAAGAGCGCGTAATCAGCGCGTACCAAAACAAGTTCTTGGGGTTTACAATATCAATTTAGATTTTAAATCGCGACTCAAATCAGTTTTTGTACAATTAAAGAAATTTAAAATGAATATTTAAATTCAATGAAAGTGTATTTTCTTTGAAAAATATCGAAAGAAGCAGACAACAAGGCGTTGGAACGTAAGATGCTCGGCATCTCCCTTCACGATCGCGTTCGAATCGAGGTCATTCGTGAAAAGACCGGTATAAGCAACGTAGTAAGGGCTGTCGCAACATCTAATTGGCTGTGGGCAGGTCATACAGCGCGCATGGCCAAGAACCAATGGACCCACAGGCTCCAAGAATGGAGATCTCGGCAGAACAAACGACCCATCGATGGTAGACTGACAACATCGTCAAGGAGTATGGCTCCTAGTAGATACAGAGAGGCGAGACAGGGCGTACTGAAGGGAAATGGAGGAAGCCTACGTCCAGAAATGGACCAAATAAAGATGATGACGATGTGCTTTCTTTAAAATATCTAAAAAGATTACCATTGAGGTCGTTGCTCGGATTTATTTATTATCCAGAATATAGTTATAAAAATCCGTCTTTATAGTTTTAGGATAATGGAAACAACTCACACTTACTGCCAATAAAGAATTTCATTTCACTCATCAATACAGTTTGAAGTACCTCGATATTGTACAACGATAAATTTTGTAAAAATAAATCCATCTTTTGTTCTTTGTTCGCGTTCCAATGTTTATACGTTTGGAACGCGAATTTTAAAAGTACCTAATTTATCAAACTTCAAAGAGAATATTCTATTTATTAAATATGGTGAAATAAATTTGTAAAAGAATGAAACGTGATAAATCAAACTTAGTTCAGTCTAAAGCAAGTTTGTAACAATATTTTTAGATACATACATTTTGATGGGGGGGAAAGGGTGTCAAGTACACGGTGGTGTGCATTGATGCTGGATGCATGCTTAAAAAATGCTGTGTTTGCTAGCGTACGCCTTGCGAGTGTGTGGCTTGGCTATATTGCGCGCACCCGAAAGTCCGATTCACAGGCGTCCCAGTCGCCTCCCTGGATACTGTACAGATCTGTTAACGGGTTACACACAATAACATCCTCCTCGGGGTCTGTACTGCTGACTGTGACGGGCGAAGGCGAGTCATCGGCGCCTCAAAACCGATCAAGCAACAAGTGTGACTCGAAAGAGCCACCTCAAACCGTAAACCTGTGGTCATGTCTCACGGGGACCGGGGGCCTGGACTTTTATCACCTGGGCCGCGAGGAAGAAAACCTCTATAATAAATTACCCCTATACTACGGTGGGAAACGCGCCAAGGTATGTGTATGCCCCTACATGAGGTGTATATGGCTGATGGGATAACTCAGTCTCTAGCGTCCAACTTCAACGAAACTGGCAAACGTTGTCGTACTGTGCCTTCTTCTGGGAAAAAGGGCGTCACCCTGGAAGCGACCTGTTTATTCGACCCTACTCGTGGGAACATAATGCAAAGAACACCACCTAAATCTTCGTCAATCAACGACGTCACTAAGCAATACCCAGGCGGCCCCTCGTATTCTGGAGGGGGGGGAATTTTGCCACACCAAGCGGAATCAACCACAGAAAAGAAGCAAAAAATTCTGACTCAGCAGCTTTTTCACCCTGCACTATTTAATAGAACTCGTTCATCTTCACTCAGTGATGTCTCCCAAGTCCAACAAGAACATATGATACCTGTTAAACAGGCACCTACACAGGAACAAAATTCATACAAACCTAGTGTGCCCTGGCAACGAGTACCAAATCAAAAAAGAAATCGGTCTCCCGAAGAAAAGACTCAAGGAGTCATCACGCCAAAAAAGACACAGCGACGGGAGGCAATCATTAACAAACGCCGAGGAATAAATACTCCTGAACAAAATACCTCATCGAATATAGAGACAAACAACAGCTTTGCTTTGTTAGACGTGGAACTAGGAGAAGCTACAGCCAAGAGAACACCTAAACCACCACCAATAATTTTGTATGGTGTTGATGACCTTGAAAAACTCACCCAACTCATCGAAGAAGTTATTGAAAGGAATGATTACACCTATAAAATCGTATCCAAAAAACCAGCTAATAATCTCGTCTAACACGGTTGACAAATATAAGATTCTGATCGAGCACATAAGAAGTAAAGGGCTTATAGGTCACACATTTACACGCAAAGACCAAAAATGCATGAGGATTGTTATTAAACATCTTCACTTCAGCACACCTAAAGATGCCATTATAGAAGCAGTAGAAAAAACTGGAAACAAAGTACAAGGAGAAATAGTTACTGCCCGGAAACAAGGAACCAAAGAGCCACTAAATACATTTTTTGTCAATGTGGCTCCACATGAAAAATAATAAATTTGTCAAAGAAATTAAAGTCATATACAACCAGAAAGTCACGATAGAAGACCCAATAAGAAAAATGACAGTGGTACAATGCAAAAGGTGCCAACAACAATATTATGTGCCCCAGCACAGCAAAAATAACTGTATGAGGCCTTACAGATGCGTAAAGTGTGCTGGGGCACATAAAACTACTACGTGCACAATAAATGATAGCACTCCAGCAGTATGCGCACTATGCTCAGGAAGCAACCCTGCTAGCTACAAAGGATGCCAGGTGTATAGGGAAGTCCTAGCAAGAAAGAAAATTGGAAACAAGGTTCAGCCATATCTAAAATCAAGAACCACTCTGGAAGTGCGGACTAAGAACTCTGAAAATAATGAGCCCCCTAATGACATGGATGTGATAGTCATTGAGCCTGATAATCACTCCAAGACTACCCAACCGAAACATCGGCTACCAAGCGTAAAAGAATCCCTGGGACCCTATAGTGAAGCTCCCAAAAATTCAACCAAATCTGTAGCATACCATACAGAGACACAAAAATCATACACGAGAGATAACACTGACCAAACGGAACGACAGATACACAGGAAAGACAAAGTTGACCATATAGATTCACAGAGAACAAATACAGAAAACCACGTTGACCATGAGTCACAAAGAACATACCTGAGAAAAATAGAACTCGGGCAAGAAAATAGATTCAGTCTAGAAGCACTTATAGTGAAACAGACTGAAAGAATCGATCAACTCATTTCACAACTGAGCACAATGATGAACCTCATCATGACAATCATCAGTAGGCTTCCACAATGATGTCGTTACGTATCGCTACCTGGAATATCAATGGCCTAACGCCAAATAAAAAAGAATTAGAAATAATGTTAAAACATAACAAAATCGACATTGGTTTAATATCTGAAACCCACCTAAATGACCGTAAGAATATTAAGATAGACAACTATGACGTATATTATACTAACCATCCCGATACCACATCACACGGAGGATCAGCAGTAATTGTAAAGAGTAACATCGGACACCACCTCCATAGCGAGTTTCGGGAAGACTGGATGCAAGCCACTACCATCACTATAAATGCAAGCATGGGCCCCATCAATGTAAGCGCTGTATATTGTCCACCAAAGCATAAACCGAAACAACACATGTTTGACCGCTATTTTAAAAGCTTGGGAAACAGATACATAAGTGGTGGGGACTGGAACTGTAAACACACTCATTGGGGATCAAGATTGACAAACAGCAAAGGACGTGAGTTGAAAAAATGTGTCGATAAACACAAACTTATTACACTGGGAACAGGTAAACCAACTTATTGGCCAACAGATGTCAACAGAATACCCGACCTAGTGGACTTTTTTGTGGTGAAGGGACTGTCTGATGTGTATTTTGACGTGGCATCATCGTCTGATGGTGGGTCTGACCACACCCCTATCATAGCAACATTTAGCGTTTCCGCTATACATAGAGCACAGAGACTGGCGCTATATAATCATAAAACAGACTGGGACGCATTTGCTGAATACTTAGAAGATGAAGTTGAACTAAACGTTAGGCTCAAAACAGAAGAAGATATAGATGAGACAACATTCTACATCACGAATCTCATACAAGTAGCTGCGTGGCGTGCCACCCCGACACTGAGCTCTTCCAATCAATTAGGTAACATACCACTGGAAATACGCAACAAACTGGAAGAAAAACGAAGACAAAGAAGGCGATTACACACCAGCAGATCAGATGTAGACAGGTCGGAATTCAATAGAATATCTAGAGAACTAAAAGAGTTAATTAAAGAAAATCAAAACACAACCTTCCAAGAAAAACTCTGTACACTCTCGGCTCATAAGAAGGATAATTAATCACTCTGGAAAATAACTAAGAACTTT